ACTCCTTCGTCATCTTACATATGCTGCCTTCGACCACAAAGACTCAGAAAAAAGTATCGAAGGGTTTTCGCAAACCTATCTCACGCGTAACGAACAGTATGTATCAAACTGGTTTTTCACCCATATAGCCTCAACATCAACATTCAGCTTACTTCGTAGATCATTTCGCAGCATACTTGCATGAACGAAGAACTTAACCAAAAAGAGGACCTGTATATCACCAGTCTTGTATAACTCTGAGTGCACTCTCGTGTCGGATGGCATGACTCGCGCTGCCGCGTTGAACGACGCATTTGCTCTGAAATTTGCTGTTCTCGTGTGCAAAACCCTCCAGGTGCGCCGCGCCACCCAGCCAAAGCACTGAGTCACCTGAGGGTCTCTGAGGCGGCCGCGCGATCCGCGATAACTATGGTCGGTCCCAACAAGGCCTGTGGGAGTGACAATATCAGTGTATCAGTACGGAGGACTTAGTCGCTCCGCTCACCAATATTTGTAAACTCGCGGCAAATTCTGGTTTGTTTCCCGGCGAGGTGAAAGCAGCCAAACACCATGCCATTTTTCAAGAAAGGCGACAAAAAGGAGCCGTCACGTTATGGAAGCATGTTCCTGCTTTCTCTGTTCGGAAAGCTACTGCAACGGGTTTCGGAGTTGGAACTGCTCCGCTACGTATCGCCTGTGTTGTGTCATCATCAGCATGGTTTTTTCCCAGGCGTTCGGGTAGCACGAACTTATGTGATGACCTAACGTCTGCTTGGGCGGCCATGTCGGACGGATACCAAACGGACGTCATTTACATTGATTATAGTTATGCTCATGCTACTATGTGCTGTATGTTATTGTATTTTATCTAAACAGCTTCGATGGTTAGAGGAGCACTGCTCTGTTGGCGTCAACATAAAATGAATTAATTAATAAATAAACTAATGAACAGGAGGAACGAGTCCGGCTGCAAACCGGTTGGCAAACCTTTTATGTGAGACCTTTTTCATTGTTGCTAGCCCATAATCCCGGAGTTCCAAGTACTATAAATCCTGAAGTAAGCTTAAATGATGTTGATTTATGTAAGGCTATTGGGACGGCTGACCTATCTGCATTATTCTTTTATTTATTAACTTTGCATTATTTGCCCCAACTGCCCCGCTACAGCACTGCTTCATGTGCAACAAGATCATGCTGAAAAGCAATGATTTGTGGAAAAACGTCACGGTTGAGGTAAAATGCTTCTTATCCTACTTTTTGTATGAATTCCGTGCACTGATCACCAAAATCTTTAAAAAGGACTTCGTGAATTCATCTGAATTATTCCTCTACTGTAAGTAACCACCCGACATAGCGGCATCTAACGTAAAAATACATCGTGATATCACTGGTCAAGACTCAAAGTCAAACGTTATAAACCTCCTAACCAGGCACGCAAACACGGACCTCTGGCGGATGCTGCCGTCGGCCGAGCTATCAGCCGATAGCCCTCAAAACATCAGCTCTCAGAGTCAAACGCCATAGGTGCCCCATTTTCAAAACTATTTGGCGTTACGGATGATCATACTCATTCTGTATTAGCCTTCGTCCTGATAGGAGGGAGGTCGATGCGACCCCTCTTAGGTTTTTGTAGGATTCATCTCAGGCATATTGTGCACGCGCACCCCAAACTTCCAGTACCCTATGGGACCTCTATTGCGCGTGTCGTGGCACGAAAATGTTCCTTTTTCTGGTATCGGGGCAGCGGCGGTCTTTGAGGCATACTGCACGGCGATCTACGGCCGGCGCGAGCGGCGGACGGGAACCGACAATACCACAGAACGCAGGCGGTCGGCGACATTGTTTCATTAACGGACCCATATATCATAAATGTATGCTCAATTTTTTAAATATGCGCCATCGTTCTCAGAATTGAGCCGGAAACACGCGTGTTTAAGGTGTGTTTCACCACAAAGCATATCGTTCGCGTGATGTAAAGCGGAAAAGTGCGATGCTCTGCAAAATAGGCAGTTGTCCCGGTATAACAGAATCATTTATTGACGCATCAAAACATCAAAACTAGAAGCAATCTCAAGATCACGTTAAGAAAAATTCATTAATGTTTTCCACTAAGCTCTGTATTCATTAGTTTGGATCGCCAGAGTATAGCGTCAACCTCTATCCGACTCCGGTCACCAGGGGACACAGGGGTTATATATCTGTCAGGGTTATATATCTGTTATATATCTGTCATCGACCCCCTCTTATCAGTCCACGTTATGGAAAACGGCGGATCACGGCAAGGGTAAACACAATATTAAATTTATCACTTTTTCAAAGCTAAATGATGTACTGTACGCTAGTCATTCTGAAAAAGCGATCTGAAAAACAGCACATGGGCAGCGTCGTCCCGTAGGAAGTGTGCTATAACCTCGCCTCGGCTTCATCTAGTGTTTCTATTGAATTGGGTCCGTTCGGACGACGTAAGCATCCGCGGGAACTCCGTGTTTGCCTGTCTTATGAGGTGGCTTATGACGTTGGTTGACCTTGAGTGTTTTCCGGTGATGCCAACATGTGTTTTACGTCAAAGACCGCGGTGCCAGATGGGAACTTCTAGCAAGTTGAGTATTAGATGATAACTTGACCCACTGATTTTCTCTGCTTTAGTGGAAATTGTATGAACTTAAGAGAATGATTTTAAAAAATTACCTCAAACAAGACGCTTCTCAAAAACATCCGTGCTTGTGGGTATGGCCTTGTTGCAAATGAAAGCGACATGCTTGTTTGGATATTTCGGAGAATTTATAATGGCATCCTCCCAAAATCAGGAAGGGATGACAATTGATGAGATTCTCCGTCTTATGGCTAATAAGACTGACCTGCTTTTCACTAATTCTATAGGCAAATTATGCGCATCATCCTTCAAGGAAGGTGATATCGAAGGCTGCAGGAAATGTTTCTTCAAACTATGTTAGGATAAAGAACAGCTCACGTTTCATCCGGCGTCAGAGCCCACACAAATCCCATCAGGATATCGAAGACATATTTGAATTTGTGCTAAGGACGGGTCAAGACATTCTAAGTTTAAAGCTCTGCATCTTTCCAATTTCCCACCTTCCTGTTTCCTTCGGCAACAGTGGCGTGATGTGACTCGTCTCCTTGCTACCAGCTCAAAGATGCAAGCCAAAATGGTGCTTCTTATTGCAAGCGTCGCACCCAAAATACAGCGACGAGTTAAGCAAACACCTGCACACAAATTCTCAACGAGCTTCCTTCAAACTAGAAGACAACAAACACTGCATCAAACCTGGAGATCATTAGACTGATGGTTTCTTTTTTTGGGGGGAGGTACTCGGTTTCATTTTTCCGCTGGTGATGCCACTCAGGTAATTTGTGTACCGCCTTAAATAACTATGTTTTCAGATAAAATGTTCGCCATCCTCACATAACCACTGCCTTTGTGATGGCGTTCCAAAAATATGCACTGATCCTGTCTGATTCCATCAGCTCACTTCTTCCTCCGGCCCCAGTCTCTAATTCAGTGGCGTTGGAATTTACGGAAGCGAACGCACAGCCGCACCAGCAAAGGTGGCGGCTAGCCGGTGCCGTCCGCTTATTATGCAAACACCAGTCAACGACCTACGGCAAGATACTGGCGAGCGTGTGTGCAGACATCGATAGAGGCGTTGGGATGCCTTGAGTAGCTCCTTCGAGAAGCTGAGACGCACTGTCTGTAGGTGGGAGACACCGCAGCAATAATAGGTGGGAGGAAATCCGTCTTCGCATGCCTGGGTTGGGCCACACGGAAACACACACACACACACACACACACACACACACACACACACACACACACACACACACACACACACACACACACACACACACACACACACACACACACACACACACACACACACACACACACACACACACACACACACACACACACATACACACACACACACACACAAACGCAAACACACTCACACATACATAGGCACACTATTTTAGCTATTAGCATTATTTCCAACGCTTTTCACAAGCACATTGGTGCATGCAAGACCTTGCTAAGAGTGACGCCTGAACCGGGGCGCCCCTCCTTTCAGGACGCTCCTGGGTGAAATCAATGTCGACGTATCTAAGATCATTTTCCACGCCATATGCTGCATCATCCCCCGGCTTGCTCCCGAATTCTCCATTGTCCTCATGTAGGCGAAATCTTTATTTAAATCCGTGCCCCATGCAAGACAAGAACGTTTTGTGACAGATACGGGTGCAGCACATGCGGTGCAGTACATTATATCGCGCCGTTTGAACCTACCAGTGCACTGGTAGGCCAAAAATATCTTGCGACGAGACTCTTCTCAAAGTGGGCGTCGGTTTTCCTTCGAAGATACATTATACAAAGATGGTCTTTTCCTGTTGCCTAGTTGCTTGCCATTGGCACAGCACCGACCTAACGTGGGTATTTGACTCTCAGGTGATGCCCACCCTCCCCTCATGTGCTTGGTCGTATGGTTGAGGGCTCGTAACGGTATTCTGTCCCGGGCGGCGGGCCAACGATTCAGAACTTTTTGCCCGTTCCGTGCGGTGTCATCCAGTACATAGCTCGCCGTGGTCGCCACATCCACAGGCGGTGGCGATGACCGCCGCCCTGATCCGAAGCGGCCACCGAACCCCAGCTCGCCGCCCGTCTCCGATTTCCCCCTGCTCTTCGGTAGAGCTTCACTGTGACCACGCACGTATTGCATGGCCCTCCTGGTGGCAGAGGGGCCGGCAGCGCTCGCCCTCCCAACCTTGCCTCTTTTTAGTCCCGGTGGCCCTCGCATCCTACATACCCCACACGCCGCAAGCGCCAAACTTGACACCCCATCAGCCACGGACCGCGAATCAGTGCCCCCCCCCCCCCCAGGTGCCGCTCCTGGCAACGCCCCTGCAGGTCACATGACCTCGGGACACTCGAGACGGCCCGGCCGCGTCGGCGGCCCCGGCAGCCAGGTGGCTCTGCCGCCGGTACGCAGACAGTTGCTGGGCGCGTTCACCGGTGGAGGAGGCGCGAGCGGGTACTGCCGGCGCGCAGGTGTGGCCCTCTCGTCTTGGACGCGGCTGGACCAGCCGCTGTCTTGTAGCGGAGCAGGAGTCCTTGGAGCTCCAGGTAAGCGACAGAATGTGTGTACGATGATGCGTGGAGTATGGACAACACTTGAGCAGGTTTTTGTGGCCGTACTTGGTCAGGGGCTGGTGAAAAATGTTCACATGTTTAGAAAAATGTTGAGATTTAGCAAGAATGCTTGAATATTTGTCTCCAAGCGACAACATCTGGAGGTGGTGCTAATTCCCGTGAAAGCTGTGGTGCAGTCGCGTCGCGGCCATGCCTGCCATACCGCTTACCATGCCATCGTATACCTGCCGTACCACCATTTCTGCTGCCGCGCGAACGCCGCGAAGTAGCGCAGCCAGAAAAAAAACTATCTGGCCATCAGAGGAGCCAGATAAGCTCCAATAGTCAATTTATCTGATATATCCTAGTGTTTGACAACTAGCATAAATCTGGGTATCGTGACCAGTAGGCAGGGCCACCGTTGTTGCCCTCGGCATGTGAACCTCTTGTGGATTTCAGAATAAACTTCCCATCGCTGTTGTCCACGCTAGGCTAAACTTCCCATCACTGTTATCGACTCCAGGCCAAACTTTCCATCGCTGTTGTCGACTCCAGGCTAAACTTCCCATCGCTGTTGTCGATTCCAGGTTGAACTTGTCATCGCTGTTGTCGAGCGTGCGTCTCATGCGGCTCCTAACAAAGCATTGGCGCATGGAAGCATCAACGAATCTGACCGTCTATTGTGCAGGGTCTTTTCCGCCTTTTTCCGCTGTGAAGGAAAAGAGCGCATGTTTCATTGGGTCAGAATCGACCTACTTAAATATGTTGATCGATACATAAATATGGCTGCGTTTCATGAAACGTGGTTGAAAGCGATGCACGATTGGTTGAAGTGGGTTATACAATGGGTTATTTTGGGGGTTCGTTTCATAGTTGTTTTTACCGCAGCGGTCTCTACTTGGAACAAAGTCCGAATTGAACAGCGCTCGACGCATACGCTTGAAACCGTACAAATGCTCTTCTATTCTCACTTTTCAAGAGAATGTTCCACATTTGCACGTAATTTTGAACTGAAATAGCCATTTTAAAAGACCATTCGGTGCAGTTCACAGCCCTGCCCCTCTTCAGACCTGAACCCCTCTAGTTTTTGGGCCGCACGTCCGCACAGACTACTTCAGAGATACTATTTCAAGGTCACCCAGTCATCCATGACGCCTTAATCGTGCCATTCAAATCCTGCCATTTCATTAGCCATACGGCGAATAGAGCCGAAAGAATGTAATTGTCGAGTCGTTCATGTCTGGCGTTCGTGAGCACAATTTCCAGATATGACGGGGCGCAGCGACAGCACTGACTGGCTTATGCAAACAGCGTATCAGATGTTTGTAGGGCGTGGAGTGCATTTGCGAGGAAAATATAGATACGGATGTGACAGTGCTGCTAGCCTCATTCCTCGTAACACGACAAGGAAAAAGAAGAGATAAATGTGTGGATTTGACGTCCACATACTTCCATCGAAACAAAGACCAGTAGTAAATTCAAAATTGCCTGCCGATCACACTCGCTTTTTCACTTCTTTGAGAAACTCGAAAAAGTGAAACTTTTTTTGAAACAGTGGCGAAACAGCTTTTACAGGTCACCAACATTCAGGCGATTGAACAGGGAGAGTTTACGCAAGTTTACTTTCGCCTAAGGCTTTTCGAGCACAAGTAAAAAAAAACAGGCGCTCACAGCGACTCCAAATTTTCAGTATCTGTTGATACATGACTTTAAAATCTGCTGTGCAAATTATTTGACATTTAGACATATTAAGATTAGCGACTTAGGTCAGGTCGAGGAGGTCAACCTCTCAAAAAGTTTGACCACGCGTAACTTTTTGTGGGTTATTTGCGCGTGCTCAAATTTGGTGCATGATAACACATAATGGTACCGACAATTTTGCATTTTATATTTTTCTGAAGATGCGAGGTCATGCTGCACACATGCTGAGCGCAAAATAGGCAGTCGCTAGCTAATTCCACAGAATGCGAATACTCCACTGAAAGGTTGTTGAGAGTCATGCAATGCCATATGAGGTCTTGCAACAACCAGTGACCTATATTGCCAGTAGCAGAGAGGCTAGATGATAAAGTGCGACGTGTGTAATCACCTCCTGATTGTGTTTGTGAAGCTGAGGACGCCTAATTTCTTGTACCGACGTACCTATTTTCAGTTTGCTACAAATATATTGTCAAACATCAAGGACCGTGTATAGCGTAGACAACAGCTACGCGATCTTAAGTACCTGTGGATGTCCAATACACTATTTCTGACCACAAAAATATTGTACTGAATACATAGCACATAGACCAGGCTAACCCATAAATTTTTCAGCGGGGTGGGCTATGAATTTGACCTAAGGCGACCTCCGATAATCTCTGGTTCAACACAAAGAGTGGTGTTTTTGTGTCTGGATTAGTTTTGTCCCGTAGCTGCACCTAATATAATGAGCTCAGTCAGAACCGCATGGTGAAAAAGTATGTTCTTGCAGGCCACTGGTGAAATAATTTTTTGAACGGTGACCAAATTTGACCTGACGCACGTGGGGGCTCAGAATGGTCGAAATGAACTGGCCACAGTCTTAACATTTTTCCGTACTTTCAATAAGCGTCTTGACGTGTTAACAAAGGTTTTAACCGCATCAATCGGAACAACCGTTTTTTATTTTTCTTGACCTTTGGTGACCTCACGTTTGACCGAAGGTCAAAATTGGGGTGCCTTCTTCACGATTTGGCGAGACCTTGGAAAATGTATCCTTACGGCATCTGGAAGTTGGAGATCCCAGGGAGAAATCAACCTCGCCCCGACCGGGCGCAGCTGTCTCAGACCCCCGGCCGGGTGCGGGTGAAGAGATCTCGAAAAACGGGGATTATGTCCGAAAAGGGTTGAAGACCTTTTTGTCACGAGCGAGCCGCAAGCTTCAGCCGTCCCAAAGCCGTTAATTTACAGTGAACCTGGGGTCTAAAGCGGTACAGACTGTGGATAGATCGCAACGAATGCATTAAAATGTAGGCACTTACTCTTCTCTTACAAATCCCTTAGGTACCTTGTGCATCCCTTAGGCATTATGCACGCTAGCAACAGGAGTGTGTGATTCCACGCCGGCTGACCCCATTCCCGATAAATGCAGATTAGAATGCTCCACCATATTTAGGAAAACGGGAGGGGTGGTAGTCCATTCATCACATTTTGACGCCCATCGTGTTGTTTTTTTTGCTCGAGAAAGAAGTGTGATCTCATGCTCTACTGCGTGTGCTAATGAAAGCCAACTTTTTGCTTCAACGTAAAAACTTACGCTATCCTGCATTCGCGCTTGGTTCCGTTTACGTCATAGACTGTCACCAGTGCGCCGTCACTGACTTTCGGAACGCACCGAAAAAGAGCGGCACGTTCCGTCGCTGGCCCTGAGGGGTGTGGTGTTATGGGGAGCTGACGTTCGTGGTCCAACCGGTTACACTGGGTCTTAACTGGGGCTTTGTTTGGTGATCAAGGCGAGGATCTGAAGACACACGCCACCGACACAGTGGCATCAACCTGCCATCAGGGACAGGGGACGGACACAGGGGGCATCAGGGGCCATGCGCGATGCCCCCAGCATCCTGACGAAGCCCCACTTTCCCTTGTTTGGTCACGTTCTGCCGCCGATGAACAGCGGCTAAGCCAGCTTCACGCTCGGGCTGTATAGTTTCAGGAGGGGGGGGGGGGGGGGGGGCTGCCCGCTTCGCACCCTACCCTTAATCATGTGTTTATTTGCGACTTATGACACCCGAGTCGGCGCTGACTATTCGGGCCACGATTTCCAACCAGTTGCAAAAATAGTACGATATGCATATCGCCAAAAGGAACCTCCCTACTTGATGTCTCCTACGGAGTTCAAAGCAACGATCTCGCCTCTGTGGAGCCGGCGATGTCAAAGCGTGGCGGTTATAAAAAGCGCATCTCTTCGTGTGGCGAGGTTATAAAAAGCTCCAGCGTGTGGCGAGACCGACCGTCCCAGCCAGTCAGCAGCCTTGCCACCATGCCAAGGCCCGGAACCACTGCCATCTGTCGGTGGATTTCGACACTACGCATCTCGCGCGCGGCGTGTTGCCGCGACAACGCCGTGACCACGACGTTTGGTCAGGCGCAAGGCTGAATAGGGCTAATGCCGACGAAGAATTGCTTCGCCTAGATTTACTCGCAAGGGTTAGTTGCAGCGCTTAGTTAATTGGTATATATATATTGCATGACAGAGCGACACTAATATATATATATATATATATATATATATATATATATATATATATATATACATTAGTGACGCTCTAGCAGAAGAGTGGAAAACAAACTGGACTCGAGTCACGGTGCAGATGACGGATCATCAAGCGAATTTGATGGTCACCTAAGGGAGGCGTCGTGTATTCCCGACGAGCGCGAGCGAAAGTTGCATCATGAACGTCCTTGCCGCGCCCCTGCACATTATAGTTAAAATCGCCGCTCCGTACACATGACGAACGAGATGGAGCAATTTATGGCATGTGTCTGTGTGCTTGGCTGCTGGGCTATTTTCCCATGTTGCAATCTGCACTGAGGGGGTAGTTAAGCCCCAGTGGTAGTTAGGAGGCTTTTAACAGGCGAATTAAAACGAGTGCTCATGCATATTTCAAACCTAGATTTATTTCATGACTTGCGCAGAAATTCATAGGACGAAGTTCTCTGTTTGTCTCTTATCACTAAAGACAAGACAGGGGACGCTTACTCTATAAGTGCTTCAACCATAATTTTTGTGGTTTTAATACGAAATATTACTGACTCCCTGTTACAGCTTGTTCCCTCCTGCATGAAACAAGTACAACTTTTGAATTACAAGCATCCGAATGCAGAACAAAATAGACATTTACGGAAAAATAACTCCCTCTTTATATTAGATCTTTAAACTGCAGGTCCTGAACCTTTTGTTTAAAGTTTCCGAACTTCTTATGAAAATATTTCCCATCTTGCATGCTGACTGCAAACGATTCTTTGTATTTGTGTCG